CCCGGCTCACAAACCACTTCTTTAGCTCACTCATTTCAGCCCACACTGAAGGTGTGACTCTTGGTTGACATCCCTCCACTCTTGGGCGCAGCTGTGTCTTAGGGGTTGAGGCTGTGTGAGCCCCATGCCAGCAGGGAGCACTCTCCAGGTGTCTTGCTGTTATCTTCACACTTACCTGCAGGCTGCAGTGTTGCCATGATTATCACCCAGCCCATGCACCAGGTTGGGTTTTCCCAGCGTACAAACAGGTTGGGTGGAGGTTTCAGGTAGACTCTGAATTCCTAGAGCAGACAAAGGAAATGTGGGAGGTTAGCGCTGAGCTCCAAGAATAAAGTCAAGCAAGCCAAATGCCTTCACGAGGCCTCCACAATGTTTGTTAAAAAGCTCACCGCTGGCCTTTCTGGCCTCAGTTTCTTCATCTGCAGAATCCATGGGCTAACCGTGGGTATATCTAAGGCTAATTCTTTACCCTGAAGATTCAGGTTCTGGATATACGTTTCATTAAAAGTATCTAGGGCCTCAGTAGTTTAGAACTCTGATTTTGCGCAATTCTGATAAAAGTATAAAATGTGTGAATATGAGGGCAGCAGTCTTGGTAATAAGGAAAAGCCTGGGATAGGGCTGGAAACCTGGTAGTCGCAGAGGCCCTTCAGGGGGTCCCTTCCCATTGATTAGCCGGGGCTGGGGCAGTCAGAGCGTGCTGGCCTCGTGGAGTTCATACAGCAACAAAAACAACAAGAAACCCAGCAGCAGGGACAGAAAATCCCTGGGAAGTCTGTCTTCTGCAGCTAACTCTCAGTCCACCCCTCTCTCTCCACACCTTGTCCTTCCCTTCCCAACCCCATTCAGACCCTTCCAGGGGAGAATGTGCAAGGAATGTCTCCTTTCCTGAAAGCAAGGGAATACAGTAGTGCCTCCTGGGTCTGCAAGGCCCTTGGTTCTGCTGTTTAATGACTAATTATGATGCTATGAGAGGCCTATGCGACTCTGGTGGAGCCAGGCCCTCCTGCCCCAGCCAAGCTGAGCGGCTGGAAGTGTATAATCTTCAGAAAGCTGTGACTGCGACCTGGAGTTGCGTAAGAAATAATTGCAGAATCCAGCCAGGGCTTGCTTCTTGCCACAGGCTCCAGGCTTTTACCCCCAGTAGCTTTACATGCTTGTTAATTTTTAAACTGTTGAGTAGTAGCAGAATATTTTGTAAGCTTCAGTAATGGTTGCAGAGTTCAGTGCAGGGCAAGGGGAGAGGAAAGGGAGGGCAAGGGAAGGAGGCGAAGGAATGAGTCCCATTTGCTTCCAGAACACTTTTGCCTTTCTGCAAACCTTGGCCCTGTGGTAGGTCTAAACTTTCCTTTTACCGTAGAAAAGGAGTTTAAAAACAGACAAGCCCTGTTAAAGTATCTCGATTTTAAAAAACCAGTTCTTTAAAAAAAATCCTTTGCAGTACTCAATATCTTACAAAAGAGACCTCCTGTATTATTTTAACCTTAAAAGGCAAGTGAAAAAAAGATTCATGTAGCTTCTGGTCAGCTACCAGAATCTTAAGGGGAAGAAAGAAAGCTTTCTATCTGTTAAAAGTCTTGCATGCACTGGCGACAAGGCCTGATGCTCTAATCTGCTCAGACTGCCGAAGCTCCCAGTCTGAATCTGTGGCCTTTAGAAAGGCAGCCTCTTGACCTCCAAGTATGTCTCCTCTGCAAAATCAGGGCGCGTCCTCAGTCTGTCTGTGTACTTTTGTGGCGCCTATCACTGTGGGATCTGGGCTCAGAGACAAAAACATCAGGCAAAATACAAATTTGTGTATTATGGGAGGAAATGCCGTCTGGCTCCCTGGAGTCACCCTTGACTTACAAGCAGTGAGGACTTTACCCAGGGTGGTTTGCATAGCCTAAGAAAAAGTGTGGACGAAGCCAACCTTACAGTACTTCCTTGTTTTCATTTCGAAAAGAGGCAACAAGTTGGTGTTTGTGAAGTTGAGTAAAATTACTAAAGCTTTAAAATGTGCTGCTAGCTTTTTCCATTGAAACAGGTAACAGCCTTCTCAGCCTTCTACTGAAAAGAATGAGGAGGTTTCTTCTCTCTTCTTTCCATTCCTTCCTCCTTCCCTCCTCCCTCCTTTAAACCTTTATGTTTTCCTTCCCTCCCTTGTTTTCTCCTCCTTTTTCCCTTTTGTCTTCTTCCCCTTTTAGTAAACTATGTTTGTTTTAACAATAAAGCAATGCACATTAATGATAACAATGACTTCTTCCAAGTAGAATAAAAGAATGTAAGGTGAAAGATAAAATGCTTCTCCAAAGATATACTCAACAGCATATTTCAGAACCTTTCCACAAGAGCTTAAGAGTCCACCCATGCTTAGTAGTCCATTGTGTGGTTTGTATCCTAACACATTTAACCAGCTTCTTAAATTGATATTAACAAGTTATTTTCCCCACATTTGGGGAGATTAGAAACAATACAGCAGTACGTGTCCTGGTACACTTGCACTTTTTGCACAGACGAGAGAACACACCCTTAGGCTAAGTTCCTAGCAGTGAAATTGCTGGGTCAAACGGTATGTAAATTTTATATTTTAATAGATATTGCCAAATTGCCGTGCAAAAAAGTGTACCTATTTACAACCCTATCAACATTATATGAACTGCCTATTTCCTCAAAACCTTACCAACTCCATGCACTATGAAACGCTTAAATCTTTGCCAATAGGCAATAAATGGCAAATAATTATTGCTGTGATTCATGTTTCAAGTATGGAACACTGAACACTTTTTCACCTGTTTATGGCCTATTTGCATTGTTTTGTGGAATCTGGCTTTGACTACTGTTTATTTGTATTATTTTTTTTTGTCTTAAAAATTGACTTTAAAAGCTTTATCGTTACTTTTATTTGTCAGATAGGCTACAAATATGTTTCTCATTTGTCTGTTGTTTAAACAAATAGAAGTTTACATTATTTAAGGACTCAAAGTTACCTGCTTTCCCTTAAAAAGCATTTGGGGTTTGTGCCGTGCACAGATGAGCCCTGCTTACACACAAAAAAGGCTTAGGACTCTTCTGTGCTTTCCCCCAGAGCTCTTGTGGGCTTGCTTTACACATGGAAATCTTTGCTGTTTTACAATGTGTTCTGGTGAATGGAGTGAGGTGGGGACTGGGTTTGAGAAGATTTTGTTGGCTCCATGTGGTTTTGCAAATCAACCTGCTGCTCCAGTGTTACGCTGCAGAGGGAAGGTTTGGTGGCTCCTTGGGAGTTAAAAGGATCTGTGCAGGCTTTTTGTAAGATCCGGCAGAAGCTTACTCTTCTTCTTGGTTAGAGTATTCTGCTCTTGGGCCAGGCGTGATGGCTCATGCCTGTAATCCCAGCACTTTGGGAGGCCAAGGCAGGTGGATCACGAGGTCAGGAGTTTGAAACCAGCCTGGCCAACGTGGTGAAACCCTGCCTCTACTAAAAATACAAAAAATTAGCCAGGCACAATGGTGCGTGCCTGTAATCCCAGCTACTTAGGAGGCTGAGGCAGGAGAAATGCTTGAACCTGGGAGGCGGAGGCTGCAGTGAGCTGAGCTTGCGCCACTGCACTCCAGCCTGGGCAACAGAGTGAGACTCCGTCTTAAAAAAAAAAAAAAGAATATTCTGCTCCTATTCTGGCTAACCTTTGAAGGAGGTCTCAAACAGTACAGGGAAAAATAGCAAGAAGACAGGGGGAGAAAAATGGAAAATTGAGGGCTTCTGGGGAAAGGGAGAAACACAAACTTAAAATGGGATTAATAGCTCATATGCACAAACCTTAGAGCTAATAGGACCTATTTCTATTTTGACAACATGAACATAGAAGACAGAATCACTGAGCTGAAAAAGCAATTGAGCAGATGAATTATCTTTATCTTTTTCCATCTAGTTATGCTTGAAAAGAAAGTAAGGAAATTAAAAAATTTTTTGTTAGTTTCATTTCAATAATTTTGCAGTGTATTTTTTTTGGTTTAACAGATGAAAAGTCTTATGGGAGAGTCAAGACATTTCATTCAGTATATAGCCCAGGTTTTTAGTGTTCCTCCTACAGTTTCTAAATGTGTGGGGTGTTTTCCCTTTAAAGACCAAACACGTTAATTGCAGTAATCAGAGGTTTATATTTCTTGGCATGAATGATATGATATGCATGTTGGCAAAGACCTACATGACTTTGATTTGCAGCATAAATAGTATAATCCTGTAGATCAAATTCCAGGTAATTTAGTTAAAAGTTACTGAAGCCATCTTTCCCCCAAGTGTCTACCTCATGGTAAACTGTGTAATTTGTATAATAATTATAGGTTGATTGATGAGGATTTGACTTCCTCATTAAAGGTTAAGGTACACTTGTACTATTATTAATACTGATTACCATTTGTTGAGTATTCACTCTGTATTATATACTATACATTTACCATACTCAATAAGTAATTATGGGTGTGCAGTGTGTGTGTGTGTGTGTGTGTGTACGTGTATGTGTGTGTGTAAAAGAAAATAAGGAAATTAAAAACATATATATATTAGAATTTCATCCTCATGTCTTACAAGGCCTGCAAGCCCAGGTCCATTGTATTTACTCTATAGATGAAGAAACAGAGGCTCAAGTAGACGAATTACCTGGTATAAGATTACACAACTATTGAGTGCACAGTTGGGAATCTAATTTAAGACCATTTGACTTCAAACTCTGTGTCCTTTCCATGATTTCATACTGTCTGTCCCTTGCCCCAAAGATAGACCCAGATGCAATGAGAAGCAGGACCATTTCCATTGGAAGTTTAATTTCACATCAGCTTAAGGAGTCCAAACCAACCACAGCTTCTCCTGCCACCCCCTTCATCAGTTCTGCAGTCTACTTGTTGCTATGGAAACCACCTGTCTGAGGGTCCCAGGAACCTCCATCCCTGCGCCTCAGTAGTGTTCCAACTCATATTCCATTGTTTATTTCCAGGGCTGTAAAAACCATCTCTGTGCTGATGTTTTCTATCTACTTCTCCAGCCCAGATGGTTCCTGAACTCCAGACAAGTGTATGCACCTGATTCCCTGACAGCCCTCCTTAGATGTCCTGTCGGCGACTCAAACTCAGTGTGTCCAATGCCCAACTCTGCACTGTGGTCTGGGCCAGGAAGAGTGCCTATGGCATGCTTTTGGGTAAGTCAGAAAAATGCACACTTTTTTCAAAATATCTTCTTTTCATTGGTGAAAAATTATTGTCACTGATATACAAAGTTTTTATGACTGTGACATGAATGGCATCCTGTTTATATGTGCATTGCATGAAGAGTCTGACTGCATGCATGCACACGCACGTGCACACACACACATACACACACACACACAATGCAAAGCCGGCCCACCTTGGTCCCCTGGATGCCCAGATGGCCTCACTGTCCGTCCAGTGTCTTCTTCCTGAGCTCTACCTCCAGCCATCTCCCAGCCTGCAGGGACCCTGCCCACTCTTCATCCCCACCATGGCATGCTGATTCAGTGCTCTTGCCTCACTTGGATGGTTGCAACAGCCTCTAGCGTTGCTGCTGGTTGTGTCCCCTCCATTCTGTTTTTCCTAGAGCAGCAAGAATCATCTTTGTAGAGGATGACATCAGTCTTTTGCTAAAAGCCTTTTGGCTATTCCCCACCATCTTCAGAATGCAGAGTGAGGTCCTCATGGTCTGGTTCATGTCTACCTCACTCCCTGGCCTCCTTTCCTACACACCACAGGTTCTGCAGTTGCGTGTATGCGGACGATTTGCCCTTCCCTGAATGCGCTGTGCTTCCCCCGGCTCCATGCCAGTGCACATGCTGCTCCTTCCATCTGAAAAGCTTCCTTTCCACTCCTTAGCTCTTCAACTGCAGCTTAGTCATCGTTCAGGTTTCAGTGTGAGACCACTGCTTCCAGGAAGCTTCTCCAATCCTGGCAGCCTGAGAGCAACACACCTCGTATGTGCCCACGTGGCATTTGGGACTCACCTCCATGTTTACAGGGAGAGCCAAAGGGCAGGGACTATATTGCACCTTGGCTTTTTCTCTAATGCTATGGTGCCTGGCAGGTACTGAGGTGTCCACAAAACTTGGCAACTGCACTAAGGTCCATGGAAGAATTTCATCTTACCCTTGGATTGCCTACTCATATAATTCATCTAGAATCTCTTTATTGTATTGAAAGCATTTGAGAAGCCAAAAAGCCATAGATACAAAAAAAAAGTATGACAGCCATTATTGAAATACATAAGGAACTCAACGACTCAATAACAAGAAATCAAATAATCCAATTTAAAAATGGGCAAAGGACGTGAATAGACGTTTCTAAGGAGACTTACAAATGGCCAACAAGTATGTGAAAAAATGCTCAACATTACTAATCATCAGGGAAATGCAAATTAAAACTGTAATGAGATATCATCTCACACCTGTTAGAATGGCTGTTATCAAAAACAGTTAAATGCTGATGAGGATATGGAGAAAAGGGAACCCTTGTACACTGTTGGTGGAAATGCAAATTAGTACAACCAACATGGAGAACCGTATAGAAGTTCCCCAAAAAATTTGAAATAGAACTACCATAGGATCCAGTGCGTGTATATTCAAAGAAAATGAAATCAGTATGTTGAAGAGATCTCTGCACCCCCATGTTCACTGCAGCACCATTTACAACAGGCCAGATGTGGACTCAACCTAAGTGTCCATCAGTGGATGAATGGAGAAAGAAAAGTGTAATGGTATAAATACACAATGTAATACAATTCAGCCATAAAGAGAAGGGAATCCTGTCATTTGCAACAATGTGGATGAACTTGGAGAACATTTGGCTGAATGAAATAAGCCAGGCACAGGGAGACAAATACTGCCTGATTTCACTTATATGTGGCATCTAAAAAAGTTGAACTCATAGAAACAGAGACTAGATGGTGGTTAACAAAGGCTGTGTGTGGGGGGTGTTGGAGAGATCTTGGTCAAAGGGTGCAAAGTTTCAGGAGAAATATGTACTGGAGATCTATTATAAAGCATGATGACAATAGTAAATGATAATTTATTGTGTGCTTGAACATTGCCAAGAGAGGAGATCTTAAATGTTCTCACCAATGTGGTGATAGGTATGCTAATTAGTTTGATTTAAACATTCCATAATGCATGCATATCAAATCATCACTTTGTATATAATCATATGTAAAATAACGAACAAATCACTCTTTAACCTGAGCCTGGTGCTGTACAAACCCTCAAATAGGGGAGACCTGCCCTTCCATGATTCCTGCTTCATTTATGATGGCATTAAAAAGTTCCTTTCGTAAAGGAGACTGTGAATCTCTCTCTATCTCACTCTACCTTCCTCTCTCTCCCAGAATTAATTCTAGGTATAACTTTAGGTGATAGAAATGCAGAGCCTTCGGGATGAACCAGACAACTTTATCATGCTCTTAGAGTTCAGGCTTATCAACTGTTCATTTCCATCCCTAAATAATAACAGCTAAATTTAAGTAGTGCTTACTATGTGTCAGGCACCGCTCCAAGAACTTTGCATGTAATCACTCATTTAACCTTTACAAGAATGCTGTGAGGTGATTACTATTATTATCCCCATTTTATGGAAGAGGAAACTGAGGCACAGAGAGGTTACCTACTCAAGGTTACAACAGATGACACATGATAGGGCTGGGATTCAAATGTGGGCAGGCTGACTTCAGAGTCCATGCTCTTAATCACTGAACATCATAGTCTCTTAACTCTGGAGTCTTTAACTTTGGAAGTCAGCTCTAGACATAAGTGCTATTACTGGATTAAAGATCCCATGGTAGGCCCCCTGGGACCAAAGGCCCCTGTCACCAGGCAAAGGCCAGTGACTCAACAGCTGAGTCTCAAGGCATGGGGATCCCCATCTCAGCCTCTGTGGTGGGCTAGAACAGGCTCCCACTAGCTCACAGCACAGCAGCCAGGGATTGCATGTGCAGGAATGTCCCATCCAGTGTTTGGCTGCTGATGGTTTGAGATGGGCCATTGTGAGTACATTTTCACCATGGAATTTAGCAAATGCTACAAGCCAGAGACCATCTCCTAGATCAGTGTTCCTACTGCAGGATTCCAGTCTTGACTGAAAGGGCCTGGTGTGGGTGCAGAGAGCCTGCAGGGCTGAACTTCAGTGGGGTGGGTATTAAATGCTTTCAGCTGCCATATCTGCTGGAAGGTTCTCTCTAAAGGCATAGGAAGTGCTCAGCTCAATGCATGGCAGTGGAGACATGACCCCACCAACCCCAGGACCTCTCAACCAATCATCCCCTTATCTATCTCTGGTGGGGTCATTCCCAGGCAGGTGTATCATACCATCCCCACAGTTTCTTCATGGCCTTCAGCACTAGCCACTTCCAGCAGTAGCTGGCTGGACACCTCATCCGTATCTGCTGCTTTCTGTTTACCAGCTCACTTCCCTCCTCCCCTACTGGTATTTCTGGCACTACCAAGTTAACTTGTGCTCCAACTCTTTTACTAAGACAGGGGTTGATAAGATAGGTCCCCCTGCATGCCATGGTAGGGAGTCCTTTGACAGCTGAGGGTGCAGTCCGGCTTGATCTCCGCTTCAGGGCCAGGAAGCTCGGCTGCCATAAAATAAGATTGGCTGTATGAATTTCATTTTTTTGTGGGGAGAACATTTCAGATCTCCTCTCTTAGCAATTTTGTTATGACACTGCTGGCTACCACAAGGGTCATGGATTGTTTCGTTCATACCCGACACCTCTGCTAGTGAGGTGGGAAGTTGAGATAGGGGAACTGCTTGAACCATGGATGTGGAGATTGCAGTGAGCTGAGATCCTGCCACTGCACTCCAGCCTGGGTAACAGAGCGAAACTCCCCATCTTAAGTATATAAATAAAATGCTAAGAACAGCAGCAGGATTGGGTTTCTTTTTGCAGACTGCCATTTGTCTTTTCCCCGAGCCGGGGCTGCCCTTGCACCTCTTGCTCCTTACTTTGAAGACTTGATTCTGTGGCTTTGCTGCCCCGCTGCTGGGTTTCATGGTGCGTGACCCTGACTGCCCACCATGCCTTTCTTGCCTCACTGTAGATAACTGCATGGCTGACTGCCCGCCAGCGAGCCAGGGGAGAACCCTTTTCTCCAGGGAAGATGTGGTAAAGTCTGATAGAGTTCCCCTTGAGGAAACGAGTGACATGTGCTCATAATTGCCATTCTGACAGAGCTGAGAGAGCTTGGGGCTCCTAAGTAGGCATTCCCGGAGCCTCCTTGAGGACGGCAGTGTGAACTGTTGCTGGAGGTGCAAGAGTCAAGGCTTTTCCAGCAGGACACATCAGGGAAGCTGCCTGTTTGAACCAGTCTGCTCCCTGGGTCTGGCAGGGAACAGAGAATGGAGCTGATATGTTTGAGGACATGGATCCTGTTTATCCTTTAGATTCCTTGTGACTTAGAGCTAAAGCCTGGCTTTGGCTACTGGGCATGCTTGACACTAACAATGTGTTTTCCTTCTCCAGAAGGGCAGAGAGAGGAAGTGAGGGGAGGGAGTGAGGAGCCCGGACCTCAGCACACTGGCTGACCCAGGAGCCGACTAGAGGGGTGTGCATGGGGGTTGGGGGGGTTGGGGGGGCCTCTTCCCCGACTCACTGCAATCCTGTTGGCCTTGTATCACTCCTGTTCCCCTGGAGCCTGGGTTCTAAACATAGACTGTATGTTTTATTAAGCCTGGGTTTGCTTTATAACTTTAGGTAAAAAGCTGTAGGCAGCAGGAAAATGATCCGTGAAAGGAATTTAAAAGCACATTTATTTAAGTACAGATGGTCCCCGACTTATAATGATCCAACTTACAATTCTTCAACTTTGTGATGAGTTTATTGGGTTGTGACCGCACTGTAAGTCATGGAGTATCTGAACACACTGGCATTGATTCATGTCCTGGGACAAAGGAAGAGGGACCCCCAGAAGGGAAAACTGATTGTGACCTCTGGGTGGTATAGCGTCACATTTGCTATATTAATTGAATTTACTGCTGGTCACCACAAGGTTCATGGATTGTTTCACTCACGCCTAACACCTCTGCTAGTGAGGGGCAGAAAATCAAATGCTAAGATTGACAGCAGGGTTTTCCTTTTGCAGACTGCCATTTGTGTTTGTCTGTGGACAGGTGGTTTCAGTACACAGACTGAGTCCTCCAAGGCTTACAAGCTGGTCCACTTGGACCTTGCAATTAACAGAGGTGTGAGGAAGGGAACATTGTGTTTGTCCTGGATCAATAATTTCCGCTGTCTCCCTCCCTAGTCCCCCTTCCCCCAATTTTTCCCTTTTTGTAGAACTTATGCCCCATTTTTATTATGCAATTCAACAGAATGACTCAAAGGGTGATATTTCAGGCAGCAGAGTGAGCTAGGGTGGGGGTTTGGGATTGGTGAGGCAAACAGAAAAGTGTGTGGAGAGAGATCTTATCGGGCAGAGAATTTGGGCTTCCTTCTGAATCACTCTGTGCAAACAGCCAGCCATTGGGCCTGCTTGTGGGCTGGGTCTTGATTCTATTGAATCAACTGTGACTAAAAGATATGGTAGTTTTAATTTCCTGTGACTCACGAAAGAGCCTTATTGGGCAAGGTTTGTTCTAGGCCCCAATCTTTTGGCTGAAACACTTCAACTTTGCTCATGGACACAACTGGAAGAGGGGACTTGGGCCGCCAGACGTCTCTTTTCAGTCACACCTCATCGTGAGGTTGCATTTTAGAAAACATGGGCTCAGATTCATCTTTGCTGGATCCAGATTGGCTGACGTAGCCTACTGATTTCAACCCCCTGAATGAGCTCAACAAATATGTCTAAAGTAGATGCTGGAGTCACACTGGCGTGGAAAGGGTGCTTGTTGAAGTCTTTGCCTTTCTCAACTCCAGGGAGAGGAACTACTTGCGCTTGAGGGTTTGTTTCAGCGAAAATCTAGAATGAGCCATATCATTTTGCACTTAACCATGATGAAGTCTTTTATTGCATTTGTAAAAGTCCCCAGAGGCTATTACTCAAAAGGGCTCGGCTAATAAATAGGAGAACTAATAATTATCTTATTTCAGATTGCTGACTGTGTGTAACTGCCGCAAGGGGTCAAAAGTGCCTGGTTTGCACAACATCTCCCTGGCATTCTTACATGTGTGGTTATGGAATTGGTGCAGTGAGGGGTCAGGGAGCAGAGGGATTTGCATGCGCTTGATCTCTTTCATATCAGAGCTACTTTCTGAAACCCAGCACAGGGAAGGTGAGTGTGTTGGATGCTTTGGGTGGGGCCGTGAAGTCCTGTGGGTGTTCAATCTCGGCCCCATCTGGGGAATTCCCCTGGCAGGGTTCTCATCCAGGCCTTAAAAGTTGGCAGCGTCCCCCAGGAACTACCCTGTGAACAAATCCACGCTTCTGGAAGCATGTGAGTCTGCAGAAATACCACATTCTCTTCCACATGGGCTTTTGGCTCTGAGTCCCCTGCGCTTCCTCAGCCTATGTACCCACTGAAGAAGACAGTTGTCTGAATGTGGGGAGGGTGGAGGCGGGCTTCATGCTGGCATGGTTTCACTTTTAGATGTTGGTGCTTTGCACGTGCCCATATTGAAGTGCAGCGGGCACCAGGGCTGTAGACACCTTTGCCCAGAGTGGAAAGGGGCTGCTAGGTACTGTGCATGGCTTAAGAGGTACTGAGATGTTTAGCTTTGCTCTGAAAACATGACCTGCTAGCTAGCTCCAGTTAGCTGAAATGCTGCAAATAGAGCTGTATCTCTTTACACTGTTATTGGGAAGGTGTCTTGGTTTTGGCAGCTCAGCAAGTATTAGCCTTCACTCTCTGTGAGAATAGGTTTGTGGAGTCAGGGCTCTCGAGGCATAATTCACATACAGCAAACACTTCCACTTTCTTGGTACACACAACACTGAGTTTGGCCAGTGTGTGCAGTCCTGAAGCCACGTCAGGATGTAGAGTGTTTCCTTCATGCCAGAGTCCCCTGTACCCTTTAGAGCTGTGCCCACCATAGCCCCCAGCAACCACAGATCTAATTTCTGTTCCTTCTGCCTTTTTCAGCATGTCATGTACATGGGACCTAAGGTGGTAACCTTCACCCAGCTGGAGACTTCAGAGAGTATTCGTATTGGGGACCAGCAGCCTGTGGTGTTGTCCCCCAGAGACGGGGAGAGAGCTGCTGCCTGCAGAGTGGCTGCTCCTGCTTCACATGCCCCCTGGCTTCTGAGTCCCTCCATCCCCTAGCTGGGCACGAGAGTACCAAGAGGCCCAGTAGGAGGAGAAGCCTTCATGGAGGACAGAGGGCAAGAGCAGGCCTACCATGCTGACTTCCTCGCCTTGTGTCTGGCTGACTGCACAGGCGTGAGGAGGTAACCAACAACAGAAACAGATCCGGATGAACGAGCAAAAAAGACTTGACTGAACAAGTTTCCCCAGAATGGAGAGGAACGGGGGCAGCTCTGGGGGTGCATGGCAGAAGCTCGTGGACCATTTCACTGACACCCCAGGAGCAAATCAGTCCGACTTGTGTTTGGCCCTTGAGTCCTCCCTGCTCAAGGCTTGGAGCCCTGGAGAATTGAGGGCAATCACCATACTGCATGCCATGATGGTGGCTCCCCTGGAGGAAGTTGGGGTGCTGAGACTAGAGCATGCCTTCTCCAAATGTTGATTTCCCCAGGAAAATACCAGCTCCCCTAAATAAGGATGCGTCTATCTGCGAGGGTGATAGTGTCACCCTTGTTATTCATACATTCCGTGGGCCTGAGAACTTAGCTGGAATATACTGTGTTAAATAGTAATATTTATTCTTATTTGAGTTGTTTTCTTTTTAGGGGTTGTTTCTAGTTGCCACATTTGTCTTCCTTCAGTGTTTCCACATTTAACATTAGTATTTTCATGCTATATTTGTAGGGACACATATACACTTGTTCCCATGTCTTGAGCCCCTTGGTGCTAATTACATTGTCAGTTTTATGTTTTATCTATTAATTTTGTTAGAGATAAGATGTTTTTTCTCTGTCACTCAGGCTGGAGTGCAGTGGCACCACCATAGCTCACTGCACCGTGAACTCCTAGGCTCAAACGATCCTCCCACATCAGCCTCCCGAGTAGCTAGGACTACAGGCACAAGGTACCATGCCTGGCTAATTTTTGTTGTTCTTGTTATTTTTTTGTAGGGAAGACATCTTACTATGTTGCCCAGGCTGGCGCCAAACTCCTGGTCTCAAATCATCTTCCTACCTTGGTCTCCCAAAGTGCTAGAAGCACCCAGGCTATTGCATTTTTAGGTTATATCAACTCTGCTACGCTATCCTGAGAATTGCCTTTGGACTTTGTCCTTAAATAAACAAAGGACTGAGCTGATCCTATCAGCCCAGAGCAGCAGCCTGGGAGCCACCATGGGACCCAGGAAAGCAGCCCTAAATGCCTTGCTTATGATGAAATCTCTTGAAAATAGCCCAACTTCTGTCTCCTGCCTGTGAAATAAGCATGACTCTCTGATTCTCAGAGCTGAGATTTTGTGAGAAAGTTGTCAGGAGCACACTGGGGGAAGTGTAATTAGAAATACATGTTATGATCCATTAGAATGACAAGTTGTATATGTCCATTGTACTTTAAGGCATTCAGTATATTCTGCCGTATTTGTGAGTACTTTAATCATGTTAAAGAATGCTATCCTGAAACTTGTCTGTCCCTGAGATTCACACTTGATCTCAAGTTGATTGTGTTTTGGGAAAAGGAAAAAAAAACACATTAGCATGTTAGTTTTTGACATTATATGACGGTTTTCATGGATGTACACTGTGAGGGAGGTGTGCGAGACATGTTCCAGCCCAACCCTTGTTCTTATGAGGCTTGGAGGGATGACTCGCTTCCTTAAGGTCACCCAGCTGTGTGAGTCACAGCTGGAATTTAGACTAGGGTCTCCTTAGCACCTTCGTTCTGAGTTCTTTCTTGAATGGGCAACTTCTGTGATTTGGAGCACGACCAGACGTTTAACTACAGTGGGTAGAGCCAGCCAAAGGTTGCAAAACCTTTCTACTTCTTCCTTAATGGCTAGGAATTGGTGATCAGAAATAACAAATACATGTCAAGGATGTTAAATTGTATAATATTTTGGGTTTCAAACAGACATGATAAAAAGGCTCAATTATGGCAAGCCTTCAAAGTTAAACTGTCCCTGAAAACAGTGACAAAGAGGGTCCAGGAATGGTAAGGGAAATGTGGTATTTTGTTCATGTTTATGTTTGGCTGCAGTTTACCAAAAATGAAGGTTGATACAATTCTCTCTTCCAGACTGTGTATAAGTTGGCAAATGACAGGAACAACATTTGCTTCTAATCACCCATCCATCTTAATAATATCGAACAGATACAGTGCAGAAACTATTGCACAACCACCAGCATTTCATGACATCGGAATCCTTGCCAATTTGAAAGAGGTCCTTGAATCCGGGGAGAGTTACATCTTTATGTTTTTGATCATGATCCTCTTGGAAGATACTTATTAGGGCCGTTTGTTGATGACAACATTAAGAATTAACAAATTATCTTCTTAAAGTATAACAAAAATTTAATGGTTTCATTAGAGAACTATAAAGTCTGTTATTTAAGAGGGAAATATTGTGCTGTTTAAAAGCAGGAAAGAATTACTGAAGGACTCTTCCTGGTCTCCTTTCTAGAACTGAGGCAAACTCAGCTATTGTAGTCAAAAGAATTTTTTAAAAAATTAGTAAAGAAAAGAACAGAATCTTTGTACATTGGATGCCAACCAAGTCTCCTAATACCTGGGAAGTTATCAGTCACATAAATGCCTCGAGTTTGCATTTTTTTAAGCTAAAAAAGGAAAGTGAATTATTCTAAGAAGTTCTACTTTCTCCTCTACATGGGAAAAAGGCCATTTCTGTTGTTTGGGGCCTGGTGTGGGAAAACAGGAAGGGTGTCTGATGAGGAGTGCCCACCTGTAAGTGTGTGTCACCAGAGAGTAGGAACTGCCGGTCATTCCCGGTTCCCTGCAGACCCCTCTTTCTAAGCAGGGTTCTGCTTGCAGCCCTTGCGTGGGTTTGTATCTGGCATGCCTCGGAAGTGAGAGCTAGCGGGGCCACCCTCCCTGCAGGGGGCTGCATTGTCTGGTGCACGGAAGCTCAAGGGTCTGGGTGCCTGCATGCCGTCTCCCAGGTGGATATGGTCTCCTCTAGAAATAGCTAGTTCTGGGTGAAGTGGGAGGTACAAAAGGCAAGTTCTTCACGCGGCAGAAACCATTTACCGGCATGGGGAGTCTAGCGACCATTGTAATAACAGTGAATTGAGACGATGATTATCTGAATGGTTCAAAGAATTCTGAGCTTGGAGCTGCAACCTCTAGGTTCCGGACCCACATCTGCCACTAAGGAATATGTAAAGACATACGGTGGGACCCCACTTTCTCCAGTGCAAAATTAGGGTTTCTTACTGAGCCGGAAAGTATGTGGTTGATCCAAGAGAGTAGATGAGTTTAGCTTTGTATTTTGCATGTGAAAACATCTTTTGAGGCAGAAAAAATACCAACTTTGTGAAACTGTGCAACAATCGGACCAGAGTGGGCACAGGTGCTTCTCCTTAGGGATGCTTCAAAATTCGTGGGCTACACTCTAGGGGTCCCCTAGGAGAACCCATCTTGGTCTGTTGGGGGTGGGACTTTCCGATTTTTTAAAATAGAATTTATGTGGGGTCAAGAATCTGAGGCAAAATTCTAGAGGGGACCTAGTCAGGCTCTTTATCCTTAGCTAAAGGGCTTGGAGTTCACCCTGGGACGGCTGGAGCTCTTGACCGCCCGGGCTCATTCGCAGACAGCGGAGGCGCAGGATGACCGTGGCCAGCTGGCCCCGCAGACTCCTGCTTCCCGCACTGATGGGAACCATGTCTAAACAGAAAGGAGACTTCAGGCTGAGGAGACTTATGGCAACGAGTGCGTCGTTTCCCAGAGATGTTTTCAGCCCCCAAAGGCAGCCGACGTGGTCCCTGTCTGCAGAGAGGGCCTGGCTGGGCGGACCGGAGAGGCCTCCAGAGCGCAAACAGCGGCCAGGCTGGGCGGGGACGGCGGCGCAGCAGTGCACTTCTCCCCACCCAGCTGTCCACCGTGGCCCTGACGGGTTTTCGACGGGGTGGAAGGGAACCGTGGTCGTTTAAACGCGCGGACAGGGCGGGCTCGCGGCGGCTGTGGGGGGCCAACTTGGGTTGCTTTGAAAAGGGACCCATCCAGCTCTGGACCCACAGCTGCAGCTTCAGGAAGACTTGACAGGTGTCAAAGGGCGTTTCCCAAACCAAACAGACCCCTCGTCCCCCGTGTCGGCCGAGGGTCACTCGGCTGCCCCGCAGCCTGGTGTTTGCGCAGCTGGGCCCGGGTTCCTTTGGCCCGGGAGGGGCGCGCTGGGGCGGGGGTAGGTTGGAGGAGGAGGCGGGGGGAGGGGTGGGCTGCGGCGGGGGGGAAAAGGGCGGGAGGGGGGGGCGGGGGAGGGGGGGGGTGAGGGAGGGGGTAGGGAAGGGGCTTAGAGGGGAGGGTAGGCTGGAGGAGGGAGTTGGGGTAGGGGTGGGCTGGAGCAGGGAGGGGTGAGAGCCCTGCCCTTGGCAGAGGGGGGTCACTTGGGCGCGGCCAGGCCCCGGGGCCTGGACGCTGTGAGCCCCGAGCTCTCCTCCCGCACCTGCGAGGAATGTAGTTTTCTGGGCATATGCTGGAAGGAGCTGTCGGGCTCGAGAGGTCCCACCGCCACTGTGAGGCTGCTGCCTGAGGCCGGGGTCCTGCAGCAGGACCCAGACGCCTTTCCGAGGGCCGGCGTGACTGCGGCGACGAGCGGTTCCGCGGAATTCCAGCGTCACCTGAACTAAAAGCAGCTCTGCAGTTTTCAGCGTTCATTGGGAAAACGGGAGCTGGTGCTGTCGCCCTTCCTTCTGGGCTGCCTCCGGCCCAGCACCGAGAAACCGACACTCCCAGGAGCTGGGGGTGTGTAGGAGGGACAGGGAGGGGGCCACAGCCCAGGACCCTCCCGCCCCGCCCACCCAGTGTGATTGTCCTTCTGGTCGTGGGATGCGGAGCTTGGAACTGGTAATGAAATAAGGGTGCAAAACTCATGCTACTCTTAGGAGTCTTTAGACTTTAGAAACACTTACAGTCCCTGGGGAAACAGAGAAGGGGCCCAGAAGCCAGGAGGGGACAGCAGTCTACCAGACTCCAGGGTGTTCATTAGCAAGGAAGGATTTATATTTTCTTTTGAGGGGAGGGCCGAACAGCCGTGATTTTTGGAACACTACCTTTGTCTTTCACTTTGCTGTTTTCTGTGTTAACACGAATAAATCAGAAGCGACTTTAAATCTCCCTTTGCAGGACTGAAAACTGGCTTTACAAAAAATGTTAAAGTAGGCGGCACTTTGCCTCTGTGGGTGAGGCACGCAGCGAGAGAGACAGGGTCCCCTGAAACCAGAGGTGGAAAGGACTGAGCTGGCTGACTCCCCTCCTCTCCCTAATTCTCTCCATGTGTTTTCAAGAGGAGAGCAACATGAAAAGGTCTGATTATTTCTACCCAGGGAACTTTTTGTGCCCTGCCCCTAGTTGCTAGTCTGTTTCAGATTTATTTTTGGGTCGCATTATTGGCCCTGTGGGTGCAAATGCCTACTTCTTGCCATAATTCAACCCTATTATCACTCTTTATGACTATTACATAGATGTAATCCAAATCAGTCAAGACTCATCATCTGTTAACTGAACTTATGGAATATTTTTTTCTCTCACATTCCTGCCAGAAGACACCAACCTGAAATAAACGCCACTCTCTTTCCCCACCTCACTATATGTAGAACTCAAATCATCCTCCTGTCGTGGGTAATATAAGATCTACCCAAGAATGGCAGCCATGGCAATAAGGCCCAAGTTTCCAGTCTCTGCATTTCCCACAGTTTGTATTACTCTCTGGAATTCTACAATCCATGCACTGTTAGAAC